CCAAAATCATGTGTTTATGATCGATAATTCTCGAGATACTCCAATTAACTAAACTAGCCCAAGGTAATTTTACACAGGTAAACATTTATGATAAATATCATGTGATTTATCGAACAGAATCACAAGATTTTGGCACCATTCGATTCGTCTTGATAAGACGAATCGAATGGTACAAAAATCTTGCGATTCTGTTCGATACACCACATGATCTTTATCGTAAACGTTTACCTGTATCAAATTAGACACTATATCAAATTAGTAATATATTTTTTAGACAACCTTTAGTGATTATAATCGGATGATTTTGGCACCATTTGATTCGTCTCAATGAGACGAATCGAATGATACTAAAATTATCCAGTTCTGATTGATATATCATGTGATATTTATCGAAAACGTTACTTGCGTCAAATTAGGCATATCTACATTAGAATTCCAGCATTATTTCAGAATTTCGGCATGATTTTACGTAGAATGCATGCCTAAATATTAAATGTCGAAATATAACCGATTCGTTGTACCACTAGGTATACTAAGATTATACGTACATACGTACGTAGCAGTACTGAATTGACTTTTATGACTGATTCTTATGCTTCTATCTAGATGCAACTCCGCATTTGCACAATGTGGCGCATGGCGTTGTTTTATTGTACGCACGTAGACAAGATTTATAATGATAGCATAATAATTAATCTATAAATATACAGAACTTGTATGTAGTACGTATTATCAATTTGTATTGCAAACAAACAACGCATTTCACCTATTTTAAATTGTTAAAATTACATTTATTAGAATCCGGTATGATCCTATCGTTAATATCGTTAATAGGATAAATGAATAGAGGAATTGATTTATACTTATAAGTATTATGTGTTCTAGAATTGATTATCCTTGCATGTACGTACGTACGTACATTCAAAAAAATTCAGTTTTGTGTATCGTTTGTCATAAATAAAGTTGAATAAATTTTAGAGTTTGTGAACATTTACTGGGCATTTACTTAACACACTAATCCCACTAAATTCGAATTACTTTATCATATTTTGGGAGAAAAATGAATTGTTTATATTTATACTATGTCGGTGGCACTCCGAAAGTTAGGGTTGTATCGATTTATAGTTAGCGTTGGTAGGAATTAGGTGCCGGGAATGATTGTCGAGAAATCATATAATCCAAATTTTTTAAAACCGTAATGTAAAATTATTATTTTACAATTATTCTAAATTCGTAAAAACCTTGATTTGTTTGTTTTCGAATAAAATTGCTTTGAATCCGATTTATTTCTACTAAACATCAATTCAGTTTGCTTTCATAAGAATATTAAAAGTTGTGCATTTATAGGATTTGTTTTTTTTTTTTTTGTTTATTGATATGTTTATTCGCCAAATAAAAAAGTTATTGATACTTTGAGCTATGTAACGGTTTACGTAGCATTGATATTTAAAAAATTCCTTAGGTAAAATTTTTCGTGTTAGGTAGTTCAAATACGTAGTAGTATTCATATTTCCTTTTCAAAAAAATATTCTATATCGCTATGGCGCCATTGATTTTAGCTATTTATAGAACAACCATTTTAAGATTAAGTTCCAAATCCAATTTCACACCATGCTGGAAAGTTATCGTTATAGTAATTGGCTAATCATCGTTAGTAGTACCAAGAATCAATCGTTATTGATAAAACTTACTACATTTGTAGTAACCATTTAACTGAAGTCATTATTTAAACTCGATATTTTGACATAATCTTGCTTCAATGCCAAATTTAAAAAAAATGAAGGCTTTAACATATAATTTGGTATTCATAATCTTCCTGTTGACCGCTTTACCAACAGGATTTTCGCAATATATTATAAAATATCAAAATATTACATTTACGGAAGATTTCGCTCCATCTAATCTTACCGGAGTAATACCGCGCATTGTAGATGTTCAGCAGTATAGAGATAAACCGGGTGTAGCAGTTGTTCGCGTAGCTCGGCAGAGTTATACCGTTGGCCCTAATAGATGTTTTGAGCGGAAGCTATTACTTCGTGTTATTCAAGTAAATGGAACTGTTATACCGATAACTTTTGAAAATATCGATGAAATACAAGATATCAATTATTGCTTAGTTACTTTCAATACTACTACTAACAATCCTATACAAGTGTACCCATTGTTTGATCAATACATTTTAGTAACATATACTCATGCGACTAATACCTCTAATAGTGCAACTTTTGTGGACAGAGGTGTAGTTTTAGATTGGAGTGGGAACAATATAAGGTTTGTTAATAGTAAATAATAGTACAAACTATTTAATAATAGCATAAATATTTAAATTAGTAATAATTTATTACATATTATTATACGACAGTACACTTGATTTTGGACCAGCATATTTGATCCGAGGGAATTGGCTGCCAAGTTCAAATGTAGTAAATAATATTACTCCAAAAAAAGGATTTATGTATTTAACCGCTAGATTAAGTGGCTTCGAATGGAGACAATATGAACAGTATGTTGCGTTTTTGTATTTTGGATCTTTGCTAGGAGAATAATCCTCGAGAACTATGTAGATTTGATAAAATTTAATCAAAATCTACATATTTACGGAGTGTCATTTTCCTAGAAAAGTCCTCATTTGTTAATGATGTACACAAATACGCAAGATTTAAATTTATTTCCTTTTTAGCAATGGTAATGGATACTTCAGTTTAATGCAACATGATGAAACCCATATTGAGAATTTTAGCAGCTTTCAACTAGCCCAATTTGCAACTTTAAACGGTGGATATGCGATTGTATACGCTAATTCGACCATTAGCAATACAACTAACAGTACGACAGCTTCGATAGCTTCTCAATTTTACGCGAAAGCAGGAATATATGCTATAATTTTGAATTATAATCAAACGAAAACACCTCGACACAATATTTTATACGAAATTCCGGTTCAGAACATAACATTCACTAACTTGTATTGTTCTGTCGATTACGTTTCCGTTGGTCATTCATGCATTGCGGCCGCAGTACGTAGGCAAATTAATCAAATTCAGAATATTACTACTACTGTTTTCACAACTACAGCGACTCCTGCGGGTGCTCTACCCACAGCCTTACCAGTTACCACCACTACATTAGCCGCACCTACTCCCTCTACAACCATAGACGCATTTTATATTAGAATACGGTTTCTTTCCTCCGGATCTGTGCTGGCATTGGATCCAATATTTCCAAAGCTCAACACTTCTATTCCGATTGTTAGAACACTACCTCTTGGAGGATACGCATTAATAACTCGAACTCTGAACTCAGGAGGAACTCGTGATTTCGCTTTTGAACTTTACGATGAATATGATAACTTAACCGAATATAACTTTCCATTGAAACCAATTGTTGGAAATCCGTATGGAGGTTATAATGTATTGAATAATAATAAGATGATTGTGGTACAAAATGAGTCGATCACTTCTTGGAGTATTCTTTCAATCGAACTGCCGCCACTTTCCCAGTATAAGGGTAAAATGTCTTTAAATTTAATAGCATGAAAATGAAATTGTTTAATTAAAATAATAATCATGCTTGTATTTTATAGATACTGGTTATGGTAATTTACATGTGAACTCAACGTACCCTCAAATAGGTTATAGTAGCCTAAAAGTAAATTCACTACAGATTTCCATAACATATCAAGATTCTATCACGCTCAATGATGGCAATTTATATGTCTATCAAAACATTAGCGGGAACAAAAAAATTCTTCGACAGTTAATTAATGCGAGAACTTGTACCCAATGCAAAGTTTCAGGCAATGTCATCACAATTGATTTGCTTCCTTGTGCTTTCAGTGCTTCGATTGGGAATTATTATGTAGAGGTGGATAATAATTTTATAAAGAGCTTAGAATACAATGAACCTCTATTTGGAATTTTTCCGAGTATATGGACTTTTGCGACAGGTTGATTATATATATAATTGCAATAATTTAGTTATTTAAGGCTATTTATTAACATTTAAATTTCATCAATTTGTGCTAATAGAGGAATTACCACCTGGACTGCGTGTTGGTAATATGATCAAGGATTATAAGGTTAATCTTTATTGATATGCATGATGTTAAACTCAAACTTATGATTAAATTAGGTGACATATATGGAGCATTGCGACTAACAACCGATGGAACCAACTATTTTAACAAATTAAGCAACGATGGAAAACATAACTTTTCAAAGAATTTGATAAATGAACTTGCAGAAAGAATTCCCACAAATAAAGAAAGATTGAGTACAACTTACAATTTTCAATATGATTCGTCGAAAATTATTATCCCGCTTATTATTAGTGAGAAAAGAGAGGATAGTGACAAAATGAATACCACATACATAGCGGAAACTTTAGACATGTTAATACGGAATAAACCATATACGAATATATTAACAGGAGCTACTACAGTTAATCTAGATGACCCTTATGGATATCATCGAATCAGTAAGAACTATATATTTTTTATGATTTATTTTTTGTAGTTTAAATAATTGATTTTTCTATCTCTTTTTAATAGCGAGCATATCAGAATACTTTAATGTACACAGGACAAAGTTCATTATATTGTTTTTAGTCATAGCTGTTTTTATGTTAGCATTCTTAGGAGCCATGTTAATATCTAAACGTGCTAAAGCTAAAGCCGAAGCCGAAGAATCAGAATACGAAGAGGTAAAAATTTTTCTTTGGTTAAAATAATTTAATTTTTAGCTACTTTTTCCTTCATGTTTAATATACACAAAATTATATAGAGCGAAAACTTTATTATTCTCCAACTTGGTATTGCCTTATTTCGGTTTGGCACCTTTGCAGCATTTATTATTATTGATTCCAAAACCATCCCATACCTTTTTATACCGAGGTAAGATTATATAATACTTAAATATTAGATAATCATCTATCATTAAATTTATCTTTTTCATATAATTAGTGTAGCATTTTTAGTGATTCCCACAATAATCAATTTATTAATGGCATTTGGGATATTATTTTCGGATCAGAGCCAAAATGGTAATAATAATGAAAATGGAAATAAGAAAGATAGTGAAAATAGTGATGAGAAGGGTAATGAAAGGGGTTATCAGGAGGATATTAATGAGGGTGATAATAAGAATAATAATGAGAATAATAATGAGAGTGAATATATTGAATGGTTTGCTAAACATGGAAGAGTTGCTGTTACGATCGCAATATTATCCGGCACAAATATTGATGTAATGTTAATGTTAAAATCGCGTTTGATGGGATTAAATATGTTCAATGCGCCATTTAACGATAGATCATTGGAAATAATCTTTTGGGGAGCATGCGCTGACATATTTTTGTCAGATATACCGCAATTTGTTATTCAGGTATGTTTAAAAAAAATAAAAATTAATAAATAATATATATAATTTTTGCTAACAATATGATTTTATTAGATATTATTCATTACTGCTAGCGTCCTACTCGATCCCATTCCAGTATTTACCTTAGCAGCTTCGGGTATCTCAATACTTTCCAGCGTAATCAGTAAACTTTTCTTTATTAAATTTGATGCAGTTTCGCCTTATTTAAGTCGTTTTAAAAAGAATAAGAATAAAAAGAATAAGAATAAGGGTCAAGGGAATGGATCAAGCACATCAAATCCTAATAATGATGGATAATAGGGCTAACGCATTAAATAATTCAAGTAAAGAAAAAAAATGAATACTCAAAATTTATACGGAACATTAAAAATAACTTAGCTGAAAATATTAATAGTAGTTTGTATAATTACATGTATATATTATTATTAATATGATTATTAATATAAATTTATTATTGAAATATTTATAATTGTACGTATGCATAATCAATATTGATATTAAAAATTTTACTCTTAAATTATATCATGCATGAATTATGTTAATTTGAAGGAAAAAAATTTTATATACCGTATTCTACTTAAATAAGAATCATCCCTTCTACCCATTCAACCCATTGTTTTTAAATGTCAGATTAATGGGTTTCAAAATTAACAAATAAGTGACGCATTTCGAAAATAAGTAGGATTTTTCAATAATAACATTTTACTATCCTGAATTAAGATTCTCTGATTTAATTTTGAAGTCCTCTATTAGCGGAAATCACAATGAGATCTTTGGCAAAGTTATTCCCGCTAATCTGACATTTAAAAAATAAGATAGAAGGAATAGTGCTTACAGTATTTACAGTAGAATACGTTAGATTGATTAAGCTTAATTTCCTATTTCATCACGAGTCACTACGTATTACAAAAGTGAGTTATGATACATTTATAATAATTCACGCATGAATTGTATGGCAACGATAAATTGTAAGGATGCGTGGTTATTTTAGTTATTTTACGTAGACCATTTGCCATCATTTCCTAAATCTTTTTCTAATACCAGAATTTTATAAATCTTATTAATCTTATTGTACATTATAATTCATATAAATACCTATAATACCCTGGCTCAACTCTCTCACATGACTTTTGTCAGGAGGAAATTTGTAACTACAGTTGCTATCACGAAAAGCCATCAACTTTTAACTATGAAATTTTTTAAACTTTTATAATTTTTTTAAAATAAAATAAACTAAAAAAAAGTTTTTATAAATTTAATAGCTTTTTGATTAAACTATTAAATCTACAAATAAAATTTTTAGTATCTCTTATTTTAAGAAAGTTTATATCAATTTAAAATTATATATAGTTTAAAAATTTGGCGTTTATATATAAAAAAACTTGATTAAAAAAATTTAAAAATTTATTAATAAAATTTAAATTTTTCTGCATTTTTATTGGTTAATCATGTTACACTGCAGCTAAAAAATTGGCGTCTATATATAACAAGTTGTTGGCTTTAAGTGGTACCGACTGTAGTTAGTAAGTTATTAACAAAGTAAATTATTAAGTCAAATACCCCCGATTTTTTTATTATGTGCATTAATATAACAGCGAAGCATTATTATAGTTTTAAAGCTCAGCCAGGATATTACCCTTTAATAACAACCCGGGTAGTTATTACAGCAGATTTACAGCAATGTTTTTTACATTTAAAAAAAAACTTTTCAACAGCTAAGAAAAATTTTGACTTTACAGTTAGTAAAGTTAAAATTGAAACCATTTGAACGAAATCCTTGAGAGGTATCTTCTTGAGTTCTTGCGGAATAGATAATAGAGTAAATGGGACCAAGATTGGGACCGGATAATTGAACTTGTTTCACTTTTTTTGTTTTTATCATTATCGACATAGTTTTATCAATATTTTCATAGGGATGTTAAATTGTGAATCCGGTCCGGTCTGATCCCAGGATCTATTAGAACCGTCTCAGTCCTATTATGAAAAACCGTTAATTAATCGATCTCAGGACTGGGTCCTGAATTACAATCCTCAAATAGGTTCAGCCAATCAGATTAACAATTGTTCACAAACTTTAATTCTTTTCGTTAAAAATGATGATTTTATTATACATATTTTTTAATAAAAAAATTTATATAATTTATATATAAACTTTTATATATAAAAACAAAAAATAAAAGGGTGTGGCAACTTAGTGAAGTTGGCAACCCCCAAGCAGCAGGACTAGAGTTCGAATCCCACCAGCGATGAAAATTCAAATTTAAGAAAATGCATTTGGAAGACTGTATCCTATTGGGTTATAGAACCTGTAATGGTGGTCGTACCAGCTTGTACTGGGAGGTAGTGGAACATGTAGTGTGATGTATGAGTTATACAAACCCCGAGTGAAGCTACCGGATAAATTCAGCGAATTTACAAGATATGGAAGTCTGCTTGGCAAAACCTGAGTAAAGAGGTAGCACAGATCTTTGATGGTTATTATATAAAGGATAATCAACTGGATACCAGAAAACTGGACAGGACCGAGGTGTTTGGCAAGGCACTATACCAACCAGACCGGAAGAAAGGTTCTGTCCTTCTGGGTCATCAGATAACCAAAGGAAGGGTTCTGCCCTTCCAGATCATCAGATTAGGAGTTTGGGTTTCCGGAGGTATGGGAGAGAGTCTGTAAAGTAGGTACTGAGATTTGGGTAAACTCTACAAGGATAGTAGTAAGTAACTGTAGTAGTCTTGGCTCACAAATACTTGTCCTTGGACTTAGTGTAAGTTACCGAAAAGGCCTAGTCTGGAAATGTATGAAATATAAAAAGATTAGAGGATATATACTACACCTTCTCTAGAGTAACCTGGTAAGTATAAGAACCTTACTGGGTTATCTGTCAAATTAGGGTATAAGTAGTGTAGCATATGTCGATCTGGGTGGTCTTCAATGAAGCAGCACAAGGTTATGGGTTAGTGTAATTAAGGTGGTGATGTAGGACGGAGGATACCAGAGAGTTTAATTAGATAGCTCAAGTAATAGTGGGTTATAGATATGGTATCTAGTGTAAACCCTAGTAATAGGTAGCTACTTAATTAGATGCTCAAAAGGTGCAAGTATGACTAGAATATACTCTCGTTAATCAAGAATGTACTACTAATATACCTAATAAAAATTCGCCCTTCCGTGACATTGCGAAGGTAAAAAAAAAAAAAAAAAATTTTGCAAATAGCCTGTCTAAGTGGTGAACAAGAATTATTAATATATAGTTAGTCAGGCAAACCATATTGGCATAAATAGATGTATAGTTTTCTAGTTTTTCTTGAGATCTGGTTACTTGATTGTTGTAGCTGGTATTAGTTATAAAGTAGAATGATGTTTTGTTGCTTTTTTCAATTTGAGAAATTGATACAATATAGTTTTTATATTTGTTCGAAGGTAAGTTCATTAATTCGGATTAGGATTTTAATAATAGTTTGAGAAGCCAGTTTGTATAGAATTTCATATTTTTGAATAGTTTAAGTCAAAGATATTGGAATGAAACCTTTAAGTGTAATGTTCAAAGAGGGTTTATTTGGTCTTAGTGATGTATTATTAAAGGCTGCATAATTTGGAATTTTGTGAATAAGCTTATCTTTTTGATTACTAGATAGGTCTAATGCTAAGTTTTGAAGAATTTCAGAAATAGAATTAGAAATAATATTGCTTAGTATAGTGGAGTTGAGACAAACTCTCCAATGTAAGACAGAATCTAAACTATTGCAAAAAAACAGTTAGGATTATTGAAAGTCATAGGGTATTTAGTATAATAAAAGAAGGAAGTAGATAGTTCATTAAGTAGAGTTTTAATTTTAAAGGACTTAAGTTGATTAAGTTTAAAGTTGGTATAGTTGTGAATAGGTTTTTGGCTATAGTTAAAGTATAATCAAGTAGAATTCCAGTCAATTTGTTGAATAAAAGGTGACTACTCTATATTGTAATTTTGTGATGACCATAGTGCTAGAATTTGTGATTTACAGATATTTTTTATAAAATGTCTTGTAGGAGATTCAACTAAATGTTGCTTTCATTGTATAATATGAAAAAGGTTGTGAATATTGGTATATATAAAGTATAGTGAAGGTGCATGAATATGTTGGTTTGCAAGTGTATCAGCTAAATTATTATGATAATTATCAGTATGAGTTTGAACTTTGTAAAAATTAATTTGTAAATTGTATGACTTAGAAATATTAAGTAATATATGTCATAGTGGCTAAGAGCTAAATTTAAAAAGTTTGTTAGAACTATAAGAGTTAATAAGTTTGGAGTGTTTAGAGATAATAGATAGTGAATCAGTAAAGATATTTATAATAGAGTTGTGAGAGGTAGTAGAGATTGCAGATAGAATAGAAAAAGTTCTGCTTTATAAGAAGATAGTTAAAAGTGAATTTTTGCTGTGAATTTATGTATAATGTGATTGTTGGTATCTAATTGAACCCAACCTACACCCATTGTACAGTCTTGTGTGCCAATATCTATTACAGATCTATCAGTATAGAAATTAAATTAAGATTGTATAGAATTGATAGCTGAAATTGCTTAAGCTTAGATATTGATTCTTTTGGCTCAAAGATTTGAGAAGCAATAGATTGGTTAATAGAAATTGAAGGTGGTGTTAAAATTTGAATAGGATATTTACTGCTATAGAATAGATAAGGTCTATATAATTAGCATAGAAGTTGAGATTATTAGAAGCAACTCTTCTAAAGAATTAAGTAAAAATAATAGCTGAAATATTAATTGTACAATGGTTACTAATTCTATTAGACTTGAGGTAGCATCCTGAACAAGAGTGGTATTGAACAGGTTGGAGAGGATATGGTTAAAAGCAACTAGTATTGATATTAGTTTTTCAGTGGGTAACAGAAATTAAGTTATTAGATAGGTATTTGCAAATTTTACCAACAATAATTTCGTTATTGTTGTAGCTAAATAGCCAAGGTTGAGACTTTTTGGAGATGTGTGTATTGTATGCAAAAGTGTTGACTTCCTGTTATTAATATTGAGGTAACAAGGTGTAATAATAATTGTAAGATATTATTTTATCTTTCAAATAGGTATACCAATTTAGTTTTTTGCCTTTAGGCAAGTGGAGCAGTCTGGGTGAGAGATGTTTCTATTCTAGAAGAGCAGAATTATTAGCTAAGCAAAGTTGCTCAAGATAGAGTAAGTTAAAACATCTAAGTTGTTTTTTAATAAGAATATATTTGGGGTGTTGTTGAAGAATTGGTTCTAGGGGTTGTAAATTATGCTGAATAGTATATGGCTATGAGAA